TTGCCAATCTTTTCCCTGGTTATTATATTTATACCTTTCCTAGCCAAACTTAAAGGGGTGGACCTACTTAATCCACTAACAAATTGTTACCAGAATGCGAAGAATACGTTTCATTTGTTTTACTTTGTAATGTTTATAGAACTTGAGTGAATTGGCCACAACATTAGCAGGTTGTTAATGCAACTTTATATTTGAGCGCTGACTAATCAACTTGTGATAGTGATTTGTAAGAAAATACGTCCGCCAAGCTGGAATTGTATATAGTATTGATAAATTCAAGTTCGTGAGGCAGTAGGTAAAATGAAAGGGGGTAAGGCAGCCGGGATTGATGGGATAAAGATAGAAATGTTAAAAGCAGGTGGGGATATAGTTTTGGAGTGGTTGGTGCAATTATTTAATAAATGTATGGAAGAGGGTAAGGTACCTAGGGATTGGCAGAGAGCATGCATAGTTCCTTTGTATAAAGGCAAAGGGGATAAAAGAGAGTGCAAAAATTATAGGGGGATAAGTCTGTTGAGTGTACCTGGTAAAGTGTATGGTAGAGTTATAATTGAAAGAATTAAGAGTAAGAAAGGAGAATAGGATAGCAGATGAACAAGGAGGCTTTAGGAAAGGTAGGGGGTGTGTGGACCAGGTGTTTACAGTGAAACATATAAGTGAACAGTATTTAGATAAGGCTAAAGAGGTCTTTGTGGCATTTATGGATTTGGAAAAGGCGTATGACAGGGTGGATAGGGGGGCAATGTGGCAGATGTTGCAAGTGTATGGTGTAGGAGGTAGGTTACTGAAAGCTGTGAAGAGTTTTTTACGAGGATAGTGAGGCTCAAGTTAGAGTATGTAGGAAAAAGGAAATTTTTTCCCAGTAAAAGTAGGCCTTAGACAAGGATGTGTGATGTCCGTGGTTGTTTAATATATTTATAGATGGGGTTGTAAGAGAAGTAAATGCGAGGGTCTTGGCAAGGGCGTGGAGTTAAAAGATAAAGAATCACACACAAAGTGGGAGTTGTCCACAGCTGCTCTTTGCTGATGACACTGTGCTCTTGGGGGATTCTGAAGAGAAGTTGCAGAGATTGGTGGATGAATTTGGTAGGGTGTCAAAAGAAGAAAATTAAAGGTGAATACAGGAAAGAGTAAGGTTATGAGGATAACAAAAAGATTAGGTGATGAAAGATTGAATATCAGATTGGAGGGAGAGAGTATGGAGGAGGTGAACGTATTCAGATATTTGGGAGTGGACGTGTCAGCGGATGGGTCTATGAAAGATGAGGTGAATCATAGAATTGATGAGGGAAAAAGAGTGAGTGGTGCACTTAGGAGTCTGTGGAGACAAAGAACTTTGTCCTTGGAGGCAAAGAGGGGAATGTATGGAGTTGTTTTACCCAAAGCTCTTTTTTTGGGTGTGAAAACGTGGGTGATGAATGTTGCAGCGGGAGAAGGTGGAGGCAGTGGGATGTATGTCTGGGGCAATGTGTTGGTGTGAATTAATGAGGAATTCGTAGTTTTTGGGAAATTTGGGGAGGTGGGGATTACCCAAAAATGTTGTCAGGGGCTGAGGAAGGGTTTTTGAGGGGGTTCGGCATGTGAGAGAATGGAGAGAAAAGAAAGACTTCAAAAGGTGTACAGTCTGTAGTGGAAGGAAGGCGGGGGGGGGTCGGCCTGGAAGGGTTGGAGGGAGGGGGTAAAGGGGTTTTGTGTGCGAGGGTTGGATTCAGCAGGCATGCGTGAGGGGTTTGATAGGAGTGAATGGAGACAAATGGTTTTTAATACTTGGGCGTGTGTTGGGGTGTGAGCAAAAGTAACTTTTATGAAGGGATTCAGGGAAACCCGGCCCAGGGGGGGACTTGAGCCCGGGAGAGGGGAAGTACAGTGCCTGCCACTTGAAGGAGGGGGGTTAATTTTTGCAGTTTAAAAACTGTAGGAAAAAGCACCCTTTCTGGCAAGACAGTAAATGGGGGTAAATGTTTGGTTTGAAAGTTTTTCTTTTTTGGGCCCCCGCCTTGGGGGGGAAATTTCCCCGGTGTGATAATAAAAAAAAAAAAAAAAATTCAAGTCCCCCAAACCCCTTTTCTTCCCCCCCCACCCACCCACCCTCCCCAAAAAAAAAGAAATCCCTTTTTTTTTAATTTAAAAATTTTCTTGTGGGAAATTTTTTGGAACTCGAAGGAAACAACAAGCACAGTATCAACACAGCGTGTATAGGAATACGCCCGGCCGTTATTGGCTTCACAACTCGTCAAGGCAATTTCGCCACAGCCCGGATTTACGGGAAAATCAATAGCTACACCAGCCCAAGACCATGGGGATATTACAAAATTTTGATTTTAATCCAAACCAACACTATCCTTCGGGATCATTTTTTTGCAGATTAAAATTTTTAATGCCCCAAAACTATAACATGGGAGGAACGTCTCGTTAAAGTCGCAAAAAAATTTTTGGGAATTACCAAATCTAGTTTTAAAAAATCCCTTTTCACCGGGGCATCATGGTCCCTGCCATCTGCCAGAGGGGGGACATTATAAATGTCTTTTAATGTAATGAGGGGGTTTGAAAGTGGCCTATAATTTTCAGGGGTAATTTAATAAACCTGTCTTTTTAATCGCCTTTTTACGTGTTAATACTAAAGCAATGAATATATAATTTTTTTAATAAATTTGTCAGCTGAGACTGTCAAAAAATTAGAGTTACGGGGCGGGAAGTTACAGTTTGATAAAGATTTTAAATTGCAGCTTGCTTAAGAGTATTAAGGAAATTTTTTTTAAAACTTTAAAGTTAAAATCTACACACTAAACTGTGTTAAATTCAACCCCCGCATTTCCCCCTTCAATTATTTCGACTGGTGAAATTTGCTTAAGAGTTTTTTTACAAAAATTTCCCTTTAAAATTTTAATTTTCAACCGTCCTGGAAGCAGAAAAAAAATAACTGTTGACCGTGGGGGTGGGGGGATTCCACCGCCTCTAACTTAACCTTTATTACCCTTTCTAGTTTAGTCCTACTTTCATCATTATTTTTATTCGCCCCTACGAGGGAAGACATGTGCAACTTGTGGTTTTTTTGAAAACTGTCAGACGCCCCCCGGCTACAATGAATTCTTAGATTAAAAAATTTTAATAAAAAAAAATGTAAAAGGGGGGACAGGTGGCTTTTTTATTTTAAAATCAAGAGAAAAATGTTGAGGGAAATTTTACCCCTATTTTAAAATCTTGTTATTTTCCCATAGATAAAAACCATAAAACTGTGTCAATGGGAGAGTAACTAAAACTTTACGGATCCCTAAGCGTAGCCCCCCCGCGAGTGCCACTACAGTATAACAACTTAAAATAATTTCCTTGAAAATCTGTACTATTTAAAAATGATAAAAACAAAAAAGGCACAATACAGATAACCGCCATAGGAGAGGGGATCTTACCGGCGTTTCGGTCCCACGGTCATTTACAAAGTCGTCGTCGAAACTCCCCTCTATGCTCGGGTTATTTAAGTATCCTCAGTGGATAAAAAACCGACAAGTTGAAGTTTAGACATATTAAACTGGGTATCTTTATTATCAAGTTTTCCCCACTAGCGGGTTTTTTTTACAATTCATGGTAGACTGAAGAGGGGTTAAAAAGAGGTAATTAGTCCCCCACAGTAGTAGTTTTGAAATGCTTAGGCTGAGGGATTTACCTCATCTTCAACCTCTTAAAAACAGTAAAGCCTGGAATAGTAGTCAGTTTTCACTGGGTAGGCTCCTGTCTTAGCACCATATCCATCCCAGGACTCAGGAAACAAAATAAACCGCGTTGCTCACCTGGGAAGGGTCGTGTCGACTGTTTAATAAGGCTCGGAAATAAGACTTGGATCATCCTTTGGGTCAGTGTGAAGAATCTTAAAATTTTCCAATACTTATTGTCATAACCATTTTAACATTATTCCCTAATGGTTTACTTAAAGGAAATATTTACAGGTTGTGTTAGTAGTTAGGGTTGTATTGTCATACATATTTAATTTTACAGGTTGCCATGGCAGCCGAATATTTTGATTAATTTCCCACTCTCCATTAGTCCGAATTTCACCCTTAATGTTTGTATGCTACATACATTAGTGCAAATAGGTCCACATGTTCTTTCAGTGCCGTGCGCTGCACTCTGGAAGAAGCGTCAAGGAAGGCTTTTATGTTGGTTTATTTTGTTCATTATTGTTCATTAACTGGGCTAAAATGCTAGTTTTAAACGTTCCTAAAACTATACCACCGTGTAATACCTCGGAGATACAAGAAACAACTAGACTGAGGTCTCCTTAAACGCAAGCAGTGTAAAGTACAGTGTCATGGAGATACTGTGACGACATGTTGGTGACACTGGCCACCTTGCTGAGAATTTAGTTTACCAACCCCAGAAAGAACTACCCACTTTATCTACTAATCTACATGGAAGGTCTTGTACAAAGTGAATATTGATGAACAGTTACCACAGAGGTGACCCATAAATAATTTTGTATGTATAACACTATTACTCTCTTGTACATTTTGACGGTTAACGTCGTGGTTGATAATTTAATATTCATGCAATGTTATAACAGTATTATTATCCTCAAAATACTTCATAAATCCAGCGCTACTGTTACTATTAGTATTTTAATTAAATATTACTAAAGCATTTAATTAGATTTCTCATTAATAATTACTCTTGCCCACTTTACGACTAATTGAGGCAGGTCACTTCTAAACAAATATCAATAAGTGACTGATGGATATACATCTTCCCGTATGTTCTACAGTCTTCGACATTAACTGCGGGAATTTTAACTGTGATAGTATTTGTGTATTTTATTCATGGTATTTTGGTTTACTCATTTTACCTTGGATTGTAAGTAGCGTTGTACACTATTTTGCCAGAAGAGGTAAATGATCTCGATGGTTTGAACATTCTTCAAATCTCTGTACTTCCTAATGATACTTTTGTGTAATTTGTTATACATCCTTAGTGATAAAGGATCTAATATTTTTCAATTATTCTTAAGTGTTATGACGACATGAAAAATCCGGGTGTGTTGAACGAGTTCTCGACAGCAGCGTTCAGGATGGGTCACTCCTCCATCACCAACACACTGCCACTCTTCACTGCCCACTACCAACACACTGCCACTCTGCCTCTCGTCACGAATTTCCACAACTCTTCTCTGTTATTAAACGTAAGTTTTTTTTTTTTTTTTTAAGCTGTAACACGTTACATCTCTCTAAGATTTTTTGAAATCAAAGACGGAATATATTAAATACGGACATTATGCCTTTTCATCGTTCTTCGAAATATAAATTTTAACTTTTTTTTTTAAATTATTAAACAGTACTGAATAAAAGTTATTGGTCTAATTTTTTTATTAATAATAGAAATAAGAGTATTAAAAAATATAAAGCAGTTTCCCAGTCTGACTTTTCTTGAATGAGTTTTATTGATCTAGTAAATATTATTAAAGTTGTCAGTTCTTTATTAGTTGCAGTTTTCTTTTTCTACAGACGGTGAAAAACGAAACATCACTGTTGTGGGCGCTGTCAGAGGACAGTGACTCTGTTATCAGTCATAATATCACAGACGAAGTTCACTTGTGTTGCCTCTAAATTATTTTCTGTATCTGTAGCAATATATTTGACACGCGTGCTTGAGACTCGACAGTAATTATGCAACATTACAAGTCGCTCCGTTAAGGTTTGCGAGTGAACTTTGACCTGGACTCCTGGAGATCATTTTAGCCCAAGTTGTAATCTAACTTCCATCATTCCAGGTTTAATATTTACCTTCGGCTACCTTGTTGCTAGAAGTTCATAGTTTTATTTCTTTTCTAGTTTTGTTGATAAAAGTTTAAAAATTGGTGTTTATCAAACGGAACTTTAATTCACTTTATAACTTAAAGTAATAAAATTGAAAGAATATAAAATGTGGTATTTTTATAGTTTAACATCAGCTATTGAAGTTATTAAAATGAATAAATTGTTTCCTAAAAGTTTCCTTAACAAATTAAGGCAACACTCATCACTCGTGCTGGTTTTATTAACAGCACAAGTGATGAGCAGCATCCCACGTGTTAGTTATCTAGTAATACCTAAAGATGCCTGGTAGTTTATTAACTATGTACAGTTTCCGGCCAGTTAACACTTGCCTCAGATCGCCCACCTCCCTTGGGTCAGACCACCCGCGGTTCTACTCCTAAGCATCCACGACAACCTACTGACGACAGTTCGTCAATGACCATTCAAAAACGACCTACACGACACTCGCTACCTTTGAATACCGGACTAACAAGTATGCAATGGACAAAATTCTCTTTACAAACATCTTAAACTGATCATCTTTCTGACCACATGTTAACCAGTGGAAATATTTAAACAACCTTTGTGATGCTTCTACACAGTGAAGGTTTATCTGAAGTTGCTGCTAAACCAGTACTTTTCTAAATCTTATTTAAATGCAGCTGCCCAAGTTAAACTTTTATTTCTACTTTGATCTCTGTCCATCTCTTTTAAGTCATACTTAATGCAAGCTCATCAGCCTCCTGTTTCTAATTAAAGTACGTGATTTTTTTTTTTTTTTTTTAGCCTGAGGGTTAGCGACCCAGGATCGTTCAAAGTACGGAAGTCGTTGCGCACTACTAATGTTTATTTACTACAAGTACATGTACAAGGTATACAGACCATAACTGACATCAGTAACATACTACTATATAGAAAGCCACTTTTATGCTGAACATTTCGGGCAAATTAGGTCAGTATTGTCCCAGGATGCGACCCACACCCAGGTACCCATTTTAAACTGATGGGTGAACAGGGACAGCAGGTGTCTTATGGAAACTCGTCCCTAATGTGTTCCAGCCGTACCGGAGGAGATTCGAACTCCGGACCTCAGTGTGTGAATAAAAAAAGGCACAATACCGTGACGGGAACGATACACAAATAACCCGCGCATGACTTTGTAAATGGTCCAAGTCGGACCGTAACGCCGTCGTAAGCTCCTCATTTCTATGTGCTGGTTATTTGTGTATCGTCTCAGTGTGCGAGCTGAATGCGCTAGGGACAGCAGATGTAACAAAACCTGCAGCAAATGAGACGGCTTTGTTTTTCTTTCCTCTGAAAAGCTTTGTTCCTCTCACCTTTGTTCATCCTTAACCATAATAGAAGACAGTTGCTCTAGGACCGTAGATTTCTGTTTACAGATAATAGATCACATAAACATTGTGTTAAGGTCTCGCCTTGACTGCTGACATCACACCGTATTAACGAGTTACGGACTTTTTCACAGCCAGAAATGATGGATTCCCTGTTGCGAGGGTTGCTAGGACACGCCATGAAACCAACAGACCTTCACCTAGAAAACAGCATCTTCAATGAGCTCTTCAAGATTTTGCCAGATAATTTCTCAGGACAAGATCTCACTGTCCTAAATCTTGCAAGAGGTTAGTAATTTTCTTGTTAAAGTTCCACAGGTGAGCCAGTCTAACATGAAGCCTTTCTAAAACCCACCTAGATGCCTGAAACCCTTTTAGAATGTCAGTAAATATTACATGAAAAACAGCAATAAAACTGTGAGGGTAGAGGAAAAAATAGTTGGAGACTTGGAGTATGAGGGTGGGCGGGCATCCTGCAGGTTGACTGCTTGCCCTCATGATAATGATGGCTTCCTGATTCCTATATGACTTGCAAGCATTGTAGTGTTTACTAAAAGTTTGGTTAAAATGAAGCTGCCTTGTTTCTTGTAAAATAAATATAGGCCAAATAATGATATTCTAAGGCATCTTCAAATTCTTGTTTTAAGTTTATCAGAGATATTCAGTACCGATGAGATGACGAATTAGATGCGCGTTTGCAATATCTTGTAGACGTTATGCCATCCAGTGGCTTTATCGATACAATACCTGGACATATGAAACTAGAAAAATATATTGATCAGGTAATCAGTCCCTCAGCCTAGGAGCTCCTAGGCTGAGGGACTGATTACCTCATCATCACTGTTTCCTGTGCGGGAAGACGACCGGTTTCTCCTGAGCACTGTTCAGACAATTTTTGTCTATTTTTTTAAATAAGACGAAAGTTTCTCTAAGAGTAGAGTGGGAGTCAGATTACCCCTCCTGTGTTTGCAGAAGCTGCAGTGCAGCTAGTTCTGTTAGTGTTACTATGTTGTTCATCTTGATGCTACTGGTATTTATACAGTTGTTACCTATGAATATTTTGCAACGACACGGCCTGTAGCCTGAACTGCATCATCCTAGTGTGCATGGTGCTTACTGGACGCTGGTGTCTTGTGTTGGAGTGACCTGCAGCGTAATGGATTTCATTAATAGGGAAGCACCATTTTCTTTCTCCAATGCTGCTGCTCCTCCTTCTCTTCCTTCTCTTAATATTTGTCAGTCAAGGCACCAGCAACCTCTGGGCTTCTACGCAGAAGAGATTCCTAACCACTTTTAGAAGAAACCATCGTGCAGTGTAAAAAAAAAAAAATTGACTAGCCTTATGGTTCTAGATTTTTCTTTTATCTTTGCTAGGAAAGGATTTGCTCATGTTTTACTCCATTCAGTTGCTCTGTGGCGAGTGCTAGGTGTCTTACCTGGTGTCTTACGAAGCTCTTCCACATACCACTCACAGGTTATTCAGATTGATTCAGAGGTGTCCATATACCCTTACTATGATCCAGTATGGCTGCGATACAAGTTAAATTTGAAGCGGATGTTAATTAAAAGGCTGTGTGAAAATCTCCAGCCTAATAAGGACAAGATCTCGGACAACTGATAAAATTTGTCAATAGGCAGGTCCGTGCACACTGGAATAATGTTGACCCGCTGTAAAGAGCTTTCAACCAGTATTGAACCAGTATTGTATATTTTCCGTTACTTGCTCCCATGAGATGAAGAGGACAGTCAACTTCAGGGAGTAGCTGCTGTACCCAGAATTAAGAGTGGATGCTGGTTTAGTTGAACACTATTTCAGTGGTCCTCATTTATGATCAACCAGACCTTCCCTTCTGCACTAATCTTTAATGGAGAAACCTGAATGTTAATCTGTTTCCATCCTAGGACAAAGTTAGTGCCTGAAGTTTGATAACCAGAAGACCAAGAGTAAGGCAGAAACAAGGCGTGTCTCGTCTCCGTGCACAGCACAAGAATGTGGAGTTGTTAGTACCCAGGTCATGTTGGTATCCTGGGAAAGTAACAGGCGGATGCTGAGGTAAAGGTTGCTGCAACACGCCCACTATAGAAGATGACTTCACGAGCTATTTCAACGGATATGTCCTTGAAAATTGGTGGGCCCTGCATACTAGAGCAAGCTATACAGGGATCAGCAGGACATACACGGTTGGCCCTCGACCTTTAGCAGAAAACTTCACTTTGAGACGAATCCCTGTCGACTGAGGATAGATTGTTCACTTCTCAACCATAGCCACCTGGTAACAGGTGTTGCTGCCCCTGTCTAGTTTGTGACGTGCCACAGACTGTGTAACACTTTTTAAGTTTTTCCCGTGCTTGTCTGTCTTAATCTTGCGTATTATACTTACTGGGCTGCTTGTAGGGGCCTCGGGGAAATTTTGTAGGGGTGTTATGACAGTTTGATAGGGGCTTTTTAATTGGTATTAATTATTACAGTTTGATGTAGTCGTATTTGAGTGTTCATTGCTCTGTTAGTTTTATTCTTGTTTTTACTGGGATTATTTCCATTACAGCTGTGCTCAGAGTGACATTTTAGGTCGGTGCTCAGAAAATATTATGCCTACTACTACAAAGTGAATTATACTCATAGGGAGCGCTAGACCCGTAGGATTATGCAGCGCATGTGGGGGAGGGGGATGGAAGGTATTCAGGCTCAATTCAGGGAACTGGAGCACAGATCCAATTCCCTAAATCAAAGAGCCCCTCACCAGCGTCCAAGAACCTTGTGGGGTCGAGTAAGTGAAAGGTCACCGGAAACATTTGCATTGCATGTAATATCGAGCTCAACACTGCCCGCCCTTGAATGAGTCTTTACTCCCAATTATTGGCTCCCCAACAAAGCAAATGGCAGAGCGTGTAGTACACGAGAGTAGTAGTACGCAGCTTTGTTAAACACTATGTGAAGAGATTTGCAGAGGCTAGTAGGCTGGGAATATCTGTTGCATTCTGGAGGGCCTTGCAGGACCACTGCTGCAGACCTCCAGCTGCTGTGGAGTTTCTCAGTGGAACAAAGAACTTTTCCTGTTCTCTCAACACGCAGTTACCAGGGAAAGATTTGGTGTGTTGATCAAGCCTGCAGTCAGTCAGGCTCATCTGCTCTCCTTGCAGGTTGTGGGGATCAGTTTGAGGAATCTGACTGGTTTTTAGTCAACTTTGCTCTTGATCAAATTTTTCATCTAATCTAATTTTCCATTCCTTCCCCTGGCTGATAAATGCTCAGTCTGATGTGCGTTGCTTTATGCCAGACAGGAAAGATACAAATATTCTGTATAAATCACCATTTTCACACAATATGCACCATTCGCTGCTTTTTTTTTAATACACTAATGAAGCGATTTGTGATATCAGTGATCCTCGTTTAGTTTTCATTTTCCCAAATTTGGGGTTACACTTTACAAAAACTGTTCGTTATAAATTCATTTAGGCTAACAATGATCACGTGACCTACAGTAACTACACTATGAAATAGCCAATTTTTATTGAAATGTATTGCTATATAGTTTTTTTTTTCAGTCTGTATGCAACTTCATATAACGATAATTTATGCATAGCCCAATTCTTTTAAACTATACACGTAATCCACCCATTATTATTTTTAGTGTCGTTAACGAATATCTGATGTAAGTTTAGTACGATTTTGTGAAAAATAACCAGCTTTATCGTGCACCCAGGAAGAGATCACGGACTTGCTCCGTACACTAAGTACCTTGACTTCTGCGGGATCACCACTGTTGTCAGCTTTGACGACCTGACGAAGCTCATGTCTGTGGCTGCCGTCTCAGCGCTGCGTGAGGCCTACCGTCACGTCCATGACATAGATCTCTTTATTGGAGGACTGGTAAGAACATTAACTGTAGTTAACTCCAACTTCTGTATGAGAAGTAAATGCTGTGCGTAACGAGTAATTATTTAAGTGTGACTGTGTTCAGGCATCATTTTTAAACACGAAGAACACACATAAGGTGGGAATTGTCGTAAATCAGAACATTGATATCAGTTAAAATGACCCTAGTCATCTAGTATTAGAGAAAATCAGGATTTAGTATATTGTTGTGGTAGAACACTGAAGAGAAGATTCTGACCTCCAGTGGCCACACTGATTTGAAACATTTTAAGTTGTTAAACCTCTAGGATTATTAAACCCGAGAATTTTTTTTTTTTTTTTAACATAAGGAGTTTTAATAATAGCAGTAGGTATTTTCTTGTGATGGAAAAGGTAATGCAGAAACTTTTTAACCATTTTTTTTTACCAAATGTTAAATTTGCATTAATGGTAAATGGGTGACTTTAGTTAAGGAATTTCAAACTTTTGGTGTCAGTTAAGGTAAAAAGCAAAGTAGAGTAAAAAAAAATTAAATACAGCTGACCATAGAAAAACCTGAAGATAAGTTGGAAGTTTAAAAAATTGTTTATCTTGAGTAAAGAAAACAGATATGTGAAAGTTGACGAAACTTGTTGCTAAAGCACAGACATCACCAATAATATAATGTAAATTACGGCAATGTCTTATAAGAGGGTATTATGATCTTGATGCCAGTGGCACGCTAAGTTGGACCTTACAAGCGCTAGTTGTTTATTGTTCAAGCTTAAATATTTACTGTCATATTTGTCTTTATACTAGTTTCTGCTGCCCTGGAAGTTCAGCAGCTTCTGAAGATTCATATACCAGCCAAAAACTTGTTTGGTGGATAGAGGGGTAAATCGAATCGCATGGTATTTCAGTGCAGCTTGCCTTTCGAGTGGTTAGCTGCACGCTCAGCAGTCTTTCAATGCTGTTCCACTACGTGGAGAGTAAGTTCACTTAGTTTTGGGCAGTTAAGGTAGGGAGGGATTTTGCTAAAGCCATGGAAACACTGGTAGGCTGGGCCACCTTTGTGGCGTCCTGGTTTGGCTGATTAACCTGACTGAGAATCTAACACCCTTCTTCTCCTGAAATAGCTTAGTCATTTTTTTTCCTCGTTCGTAAAATTTAATGATTAATTATGGGGGTCACATTCCGTTAATCTAATGAGCTTCCACCCATTATTGTGTGTAAGTGGCCCACACCACCCACGGGGAATTGGATCACCAGTTGTGGGTGGGTTGTTTGGTAGATGATGTACCAACAGAGGTCAAATTCAGGTTGATGGGTTAGGATTAATGTGCCATTCTCGGAATTCTTCCCAGTTTACCCTCGTGCATTACTAAGTCAATGCTGCTAGTGACTGTTGCTACCAGCTCAATAGGCAGTTTTGCTAATCCTTGTTCTGCCACGTTTGTGTGTGCTGCTAGGGCTGGATTGGGTGGGATAGTCCTTGACACATTTGTGATGGTGTGGAGCGATAACGGTAGTGGCAGGCTATTGTTTGCGTTTCCTTGGTAAGGCGGTAGTAAACACACCCTTTCCCCCCCCCCCCAAGTTTTCAGTTTTCCCTCTGCTCTTTTGCTTCCATAAAGAAATGCCTCAAAATTCCCCTGGTCTTCTAGTGGAAGACTCTCCCTGTATGGATATGGTTTGTCAACAACCAAGAGGCAGACTCTGAGCTGTAACTGGCCCTGGATCTGATTACTTTCTCAGTGTTGAAGTTTACACTGTAGGCATCCCAGTGTCAGGCTTAATTTCTGTAAGGTGGATAAAAATGCTCATATTTCTACCTTTAGTAGTGGTGGGTAGGATGTTACTTTTGTTTATAGTTTTGTTGTGTATGAGATGGAATTTGAGTAGTTACCCAGGCCATTAAATAGGAATTCAGAGAGGCATACACTCGTGTACCTCGGTCTAGACCGGACCAAGCTGTTAGCTGGTATGTTTGAAGCGGTAGTCAGAGGTAGTGTTTGAGCAAGATCTTGCAACCCAGCATCTGCCAAAACTTTGGCAACCTGACCCACAGCGAGTTCGTGACATCTTAAGAATATAAGGAGCACTGTATCAGTGTCCTGGTAGAGAACTTGTTAGTTTCCAGATATCCGAATTACTGAAGTGGCAGTTTCCCACTGGATGCTCTAACAAGAATACGGACATTGGGCATTTCAGGCCTGTAGTGGTTGCAGTTTGGAGGATTAAAAGGAAGATGACTGGTCCTAAACCATAATTTTCCATGGAGGAATATGTATGTGAAGCCGTACCTTTCCTTCCCTATATAATGTTTAGTCCGTTTATCAACTAGACCTTAAGTATAAGGCAACCCATAATGATCTGTTGCCTGTGGAGACGAATTTAATACTACTCATTCCAGTACAGGAATCGTTTGGTTGTTACCATAAGCTTGACTGAGTGCAACTCCATGGTAAAAAAAAAAAAAAAACTTGCCCAAGAACACAGCTAATCTTCGTGATCGAAAAATTCTTAATTGCTGGGAATACACTTGTGGGTCTCCTTCCAAATATAAATGTTATTCCCGTTTGCATACAACGAGAAGGTTAAAATAAAAGAAAAGATTACAACATTTAGTTTACTGATAACTTAACGTTTTTCCAGGCGGAGGATCACGTTCCAGGTGGTGAAGTGGGACCAACATTTGCTTGCATTATTGCTCGCCAGTTTCTTATCACGAAGAGGAGTGACAGATTCTGGTAAGCTTGAAACTAGCATGTTGCCTAATTCTTCGTTATAATCTGATTCAAATAACAATTACACTTAGATGTCTAAAATACAGCCAAAGTGACTGAATTCAATGTTTTGCAAATTTAATGTTCGTCCTGCCCACAATCTTTACAAAGTGCTCATTGATTCCTTTTTTTTTCTACCTAAAATGGAATACGAGTTCATTAGCTAAACATTTTTGTATTTAGCCATTAGTAAAATTTTACATAACGAACTAAATAACAAATTTAGTGTTTTAGCTGTGGATGAACTTTAATGTATAATGTTCCTATGACCAGATTAACTTTTTATACTGTTTTTGATCAACTTCTGTTGTGTTCTTTCTATATTACCGAATCAACGCAACTAATCTTTTGTCTTTTTGAAATTAAATATATTAGTGACTTTGTTTCATAATTTCTGCACAAGTCACAACCCAAATTGATCTCTTGCACTTTTAAATTTGATATTCATCTATAAATTTGTTCAACATTCATCCAAACACTTCTAATTTCACCTCCCTCCCCTGTATTTTATTTGATCTTATTACTAATAAACTAATATACTTGCACATTCATTCGTTCAAAACACGTGAATGTTTTTTTCTTCTGAGACGCCAGTCGTTCATAACAAAGACATTCATCTTGATGGTCTTTTATTATAGTTTAGTTACATGCTCTTCATTAATTACCCACAAACCTTGAAAACTTCTCTTCTGAATTTTCGTATAAGCAATGTGTAAGTAGTCCAACTTGGACAACTCTTGCTATAAACTGGTTCTTTGCCAAATATTTTTCAATAACTTTCCCCAAAACAAATCAAATCTTGACGGTAAAACCTTATTTGACAGTTGAAGGTTTCTTCCACTGGATAAAATTATAACCTTAATTTTTGAAATGGGGGTGGACTGGTAAGCTAGCTGAAGGCCTCGGTCAGATGACCAAAATCTCCAGCTGCGGGTCATCATGACTAAGCCTGCGTCAGGAAACACTCGCTCTGTTACCTGACTAACCTTCCATTGGCTTTTCTAAGAAATGTTCCAATTTTCTTCTAAATACCCAGCCTAAGCCTCTTCGTGCAAACTTTCTTCATATTGATTTTTACCTGCCTGTTCCTTACATTTAACAACACTGATCATTTTTTCCATGTCGATAATTGTCTGGTCTTCCTACCTCGGTGGGAGACGGCTGGTGTTACGGTATTAAAATGCAAAATAATTAGGTTTCGCCTTAGACCTAGATTGCCTCACCATGAATAATTAACACAAGAAGCCTTGATGATAGCAATCAACATTAATCTGTGTTGCAGGTACGAGAATAAAGGATCAGGCTTTACTTACCAACAACTACGGAACATAAGGACGGCCTCACTTTCAAGGATCATTTGCAATAATATGGACCAAGTGGAGCAGGAGGTGCCACCACGCGCTTATATGCCGCCTCATCAAACTAAGTAAATATAAGAGATAAATATTCACGAGTAATGCCAAGGTATTTGTAGCCACCTCGGCGATTTTGGATTTTGATATCTTGCGTGAATATTAAAAAAAAAAAAAAAAAAAAAAAAAAAATTTTTATGGTATGTTAACTGTTTCATTTTTTCTTTGTGCGAGTATTTTTTAGTTTGCCTGTTAGCATAAAATCTCAACATACGAAAAATGTGCCTTTTTCTTGACCAGTTTTGGTCATATTCATCGGTAAAAGTTCTCGGAAAATATTGATTTTTATCTTTTTTCATCAGAAATTGACAATTTTTTTTAATGTCAAATGTAAGTGCAGAAAATAGTGTTACTGCTAGTGTTGCAATATCAATAATTGGTCTCAGTGCTGCGCTGGTGAACCACCCTGAGAATGAACCGAGGATAATTTTTGGAAAAAATTTTAGGGTTTTCTGGGAGGATTTTTTATAATTATATTCTAGCGGATCTGCAGAATACATAACATTCGTCAAAATAAATAGGACTTCAACTCTGCTATATTTTCATTTTTTTCAACCTCTGAACTGTGCTAACAAAGTGTTCTTCAGTTGCATCTGTTTTTTTTTTTATTCTAGAGTGCACATAAATCTGACGCATTAAATCTGGAAAGTTAAAAATGCCTAATTTTCAATAGTGAAAAATTATCAAACAATTGTACTGAGGTATAGAAACTATAAATTATGGAAATGATAATATTGATGCTGATTTGATCCTTCCCCCACAATATTGAGGCATCAGACTGAGCTTTCATTCACATTTAAACACTTGCATTGCTTAAATTTAGGTCCTGAGACCTTGGTCATTCCAAATGACCTTCGTTGGTCCAAGGATCGACATGGATCCACTTCAGAAGTTCATAGTGTACACATACCTGTTTCTTGATGCATAGTCTGTATCGCTATACAGTTACTCGTACATGGATATCTTTAATGAATATTTAGCGTAGCAGCACTTAAATAAGAGCTACTGTGGCATCCTCTCAGCACTTGACAAAGAACCCAGCAACTAGTCTTCTGTCAAAAATATTTATGGATTTTCATAATTCGCTGCCGTTAAGATTAAGATTTCGTTCGGATTTTTAACCCCGGAGGGTTAGCCACCCAGGATAACCCAAGAAAGTCAGTGCGTCATCGAGGACTGTAACTTATTTCCATTGGGGTCCTTAATCTTGTCCCCCAGGATGCGACCCACACCAGTCTACTAACACCCAGGTACCTATTTGCTGCTAGGTGAACAGGACAACAGGTGTAAGGAAACGTGTCGAATGTTTCCACCCGCCGGGAATCGAACCCGGGCCCTCCGTGTGTGAAGCGGGAGCTTGAGCCACCAGGCCACCGGGCCACCCCGTTGTACCTCCAAGACTTGGAGGAAATTATGAATAATTTACTAATATTTAAAAAGTTGCAATTATAACTTTTATAACAGTAAATTCGCGTCTATAACAGCGAACTGGTTATGAAGGAAGCAAATTATTGCATGAATATTGGTAATGTTAAGAGACTATAAATATGTTAGCAGCTTTTACTAGTCCAAAACATCCTAACTATTGTAATTTTTGTAAGTTTACTGCTTGAAGTCATGGATCTCTCTTAAACCCTTGGATGCATTCATTTAACTACAAGGGTAGTGCAGTAATTTACTCTAAGCCTTCTCTGAATAATGATTGGAATTTTGCAGGAACCCACTAGGCCCGTGCAACAGCCTACCAGACATAGATACAAGCCTGTGGCAGGAACATTCTGGCGAAGAGGGTTGCTACTACCAGGGCAACTATCCTCCCTCCTCCCATACCCCGAACTCGCTCTGTCTTCACTCCTGTCAGCCAGATGGATGGGTGAGTTCACGTAAACGAGGTTGTTGCTTTAACCAGAAAAACATAAGAGCATCTGAATCGTCTACCTTGAGCATGTTCCGAGGGGTCAATGCTCCCATCACCCAGTCCATGACCAGGTTGTTACTACTGGCTGCACGCAATCCAACATAGGAACCACAGCCCAGTTGTCAGTAGTGCTACTGTATACTTGGGTAGTATACTTAGTGTCAGCTATTTTATAGATAGGCTCCCTTCTAGCCGTGACGTCACGAGGCCCATCACATGAGCGGTATTTCAGAGGCCCAGCTCACTCTCGGTCCACTCAGTAGACATATACATGACAGGCAGGCTCCTGGGCTTCTCTAGATTCTCTTAATTATACACCTCCAAGACATCCAATGTATGTATTTCGTACTCCAATAGTTCCTGACGGACCCCCATGACAGCTGGTCAGGTACTAACTATAGGTACCTTTCTCACTCCCTCTTTTAAGACTGCCAGGGGTCTATTGGTAATCTGCCTTATGTATGCTGTGAGTCAGCTGAATAGTCTTGGGCCCCTGACATTTAGGGTTGTCTTGTCATAGGGCGTTTGGGGATGGATTTGTGAGTAATAAACTCACACGTAGGTTGTCTTGGTAGAGAGAGGGAGAGCACAAGTACAACTGCATTGTACTTGCTATCGGTCTTCTGAGCTTGGACGGCACCTATGCCAATTGAACTAGCATCAGTTGTTAGAAAGAAAGGCTTAGAAAAATCTGGGAATTTCAACATTGCGGCAGATGCTAGCTTTTTTTGAGAGTTTGGAATGCTCTTTCTTGACAGAAGGTCCAAACGAAAGGAGCATTGTTCTTAAGCAACTCAATAGGAGCTGCTATAGAAGAAGAATTAGCAATGAAGGATGTATAAAAATCTGCTAAGCCCACAAAGGATCTCACAGCAGCATCAGCAGTTTTGGGAGGTGGGAAAATTTAATACTGTAGTTACTTTGGTAAGTCACAACCCCTTTAGGAGTGGCTGACCAAGAAACTTGATTTCTGATCTGAAAAATTGACATTGACAATTGGATCTTTAAACTGGCTTCTTCATACTTACCAAGTACCACATAGTCTTTTCAAGTGCTTTTCAGTGTCTTTGGTCATGACAATTACATCCAAGTACAACATGAGTGTTATCTATGAGGTCCTCTAAAGATACTAGTCATAGGCCTCGAGAAGGTGATAGGCGATGAGCGTAAGCTGAAGGCAATTCAGAGGAAATGATAATGACCCATAGGGGTGAAAAATGCAGTTAGCTCTTGGCTGTCCTTGTGGAGAGGGACTTTGCAAAACCCTTGTAACAAGTCCAGGATCGAAAAGACTACCTTCTCTGATATTACACAAAAGGCCACCTAGTTCAGAAAGTGGGAAGCGATCTGGAATAGCTTTTGCATTAAACTTCCTAAAGTCAATTGCTGGGCACAAAGTACCGTTTTTCTTAGGTACTAGGATCAAGGGTGCATTCCAAGGTGAATTATTAGGTGTGATAACACAATCAAGCATCTTACTGATAAATTATTCTGCAACAGCAACTTGTGAATGAGACATTCTGTATGCAGGTACATAAATAGGTCTGGTATCAGGTTCAAGTGGGGTATGGCAGGACAAAAGTTTAGTTATACCCATCTTTTCGCCTGGTAAGGCACTGGCTTTGACGTTTGTTCAACAGATGCAACAAACACTTGACCTCGTCTAGAAAGTCAGCTGGAGCTAAATCTTTCACTACTGGTGGAGTGAATTGATCCAGTGGAGTGGATGAACTCTCCCCAGCTGAAATAGCACCGACCCACTGGTCAGATGACAACTCATCCTCTACACGAACAGGGTAAGGATAGTGAACAAGGTCAACAATAGTGGTATTCGCTCTGAGGTGAACACTGTAACCAGATGCATTAGTAAGAAATAAATGGATCTTATCTCTTACAACATGTAAGGATGGCTCAACAAACAAACCCTTACCTTGCAAGAATCACGGTCAACTAGGACGTTGTCACCATCTGGAACATAAGGGACAACAGACTAGTGACGGCACTAGCCATGACAGAAATGTCTTTCTGCAGACCGCCTGTGACTTCAACAAGAGATGGCATTACTAGTTTCAAGTAATTATTTTCTGACAAGGTGTCCCCTGTGGAGGAACAACCACTTGAACTAGCAGTTGCTGCAATGATAGGCTCAGCACTCAAGGTTGTCCGAGGCACCTCACACCTGAAGCAACTGTGTACTATCTTGCGTGTCTGAAGTTGTAGGTGGAACACAGACAGGAATGGCAGAATTACTAGTGCCTGATTGCTTGGGTATGCTACTGGAAAATGCACTGGCTTGTAAAGACTTAATCTGAACTTCATACTGTGCAGCAGTATGGCAGATCTCTGATCCAAGCTGATAACCCCAAAAAGGTACAATAGTCAGTTTGGGCATGCCATTGGTAAGGATCAAGCACAATGTGTAAATCTCTCGTGGAAGCAAATCCCAGTAGATCACCAGGAAAACTAAACCAGTCGACAGTAAGGAAGGAAGCAGTAAAGTCTCTACCTTGGATAGAAAAGGTGATGAAAGTTCGACCTCGGACACGCAGGCGAGAACCAGCCACACCACTAAGGGAGGAAGGATGCATGATTCTACAAAGACACGGTGTAACTGCTTATCCTTAAACTAGACTTGATAATATTGACATGAACAGGCATATTAAGAAGAGATACTTGTACTAAGGGACCTATTGTTACCTTGGAATTTGTGCAAACAAGGATGATTTTCATCAGAATGTTTGTTCCACTGCATCCCAAAAAATATCTTCGTCAAAGACACTTAAAGCAACATCAACGAGACTGTCTTCGTTGAGGCTGCTTAAGGCATAGAAAGAATTGCAAACAGGAATGGAGTACTCATTATCACTTACTTTCAACATGGAGCGATTTGACTGGGGCACTCGAATTCCCCAGAATTGGAAGACTGAGCTTGGTTCTGGTTAGCCTGAGAACCACAACCTCTATTTCCTCTCCTGGTTCTGCAGTGGTAACGGCCATGGAAGGATCTAGAGTACCCAAGGTTGTAGAGAGCACCACTCAGATGTGTTATGTCCATAGAAGGTACAGTACAGAAAAGAGGAATGAGAATCGTCAGTATGGTGGTTTTTACCTCAACCACTTACACAATTTGCTGCAATATGACCAAGGTAACCACAGTCGTAACAAGTTCTCTCGCTATGGTTGCTGAATGCACTGTGAGCACTATGGCGAGGATGACGATGACTCTTTACACTAGCCCTGGGCAACTGATTTGATTTTGTCCAGGATTTCTTGTTAAGTAAACAAGGGGTGGTACTGAAGTATTCATAGTAGTTAATGTAGGTTTGATTAATTGAAAAGTACCAGAGATATAAGACAGGACATGAATAAGGGCTGCAAATGGTTCCATGTTGACAGTTGGAGTTATAAGAACACAAGGAAGCAGGCGGCAATAACTCCCTGATAGCTCCAAAAGTTGCCAGTTTAGCAAATGGCATGGAGAAGCGTTTAGCCTCGTCAGGTATAAAATCTGAAATTTTACTGCTTTCATCCTCTTCAAGGGGGAGCTCCTTGGCGTGGTGAAGAGGCTCTTGGTCTGAGGAATTAGACCTGTCGGTCTCCTTCCTCAGACCGAACCTAATTACCCCCCAATGCCCTCTTCCCTATCCCATCCTCCCCTTTTTCCTTTTCTCCTCCTCCTCCCCACCCCTCCTTTTTGCCCTTCCTTTTTTGGCCTTTGGGATTTTTCCCACAGGCGCCCTAGTTCCTAAGTAGGGGAAAGGGTACTGGGGTCCATCCCATTTCGTTGAGGTTCTTGGTGGTGGCGTAGTTTGCCGTAGAATCTGGATCGCCTGGGGATGTCCCGTGGGTCTTTCGGGCGATGGGTGTATCTCTGGAAGCCACCTTTTGGATTCCAAGGGTGGTGGCCGAAGGATGTATGCTTTGTGGCAGATATCCGGCTGCCCTCTCTTGTCCACCGAGGTAGCATATCGTCTAAAAGGGACTAGGAGGCACACACCCCATACAACACATCATAGAAACTATGGTAGCTATGACAACACCCCAAGTGATTTTTTAGGGGTAGGAAACGAAGAAAGAAAATGGAAAGAGATAACCAAAATAGTCCACCACCTTGGAGCCTTGTTGGACTGGAGGCACAGCCAGTGGTGCCTCTGGGCTCACAGCTACTGATGCCAACAACAAAATCCCCCCAACAAACATGCAACACAACCTCATTTATATTTGTTAATATACAGGGCCTTAAACCATCCACAAACAACAAAATACCTTTCATTAGTGGACTTCTAGAGGAGTCAAATTCACTGTTTGCAGCTTTCACAGAGACCCACGCAAAAGATTACTTTGACAGTGAAATATGGATACCTGGATAAAACCTTTTCAGATGCGACAGAAAGAACAGGCAACAAGGGGGGGTTGGCCTGTACGTCAGTCACTCATTTACACAGAGATACTGAACACCACAAATGATGTAGTTGAAGTTCTGACAATAAAAATCGAGAACCAAAACTTAGTCATTGTACTTGTATATAAGCCACGGGATGCAACTTCCCAACAGTTCAAAGAACAACTGTCAAAAATCGACTCCTGTCTGGACAACTTTCCAGCCCCATCCCCAAACATCTTGCTGCTTGGTGACTTCAATCAAAGACTCACAAAATGGAAGAATACAGCAAATAATGTAGCAGAAATAATCCCTGGAGGTAGCTCAGATGAAAGGTCACACACGCTGGAGCTGCTGAATTTCTGCAACAAGCACACCCTAAGTCAGCAAATAGTGGAGCCAACAAGACTGGAGAACACACTGGACCTTATTTTCACAAATAATGAGGACCTGGTAAGGAATATAACAATATCAAAAACAACAAATTCTGATCACAATCTAATCGAAGTCCAGACTTGCATGCACAGGAGTCCTGATCAGCACAATGCATTCAGTTATGAGGGTACCTTTACCAAATTCAACTTCAAGAACATCATCTGGGATCAGGTAAACTATGCCCTAAATGAAACATGCTGGGAGGATATCTTAAATTACACAGACCCGAACCAATGCCTCGAAAAGATCATCCTCCTGGTAGCTGAAGTATGTTCAAGGTATATTCCTATAAGACAAAAGAAAA